CTGGCTTCCTTCGCATCATCAACGCCTGGCTTTCAGAACTTTTCTCTTTTCTGATAGCCTAACATTCTTTCTCCTCCCCTAATGCCTCAAACAAAAGGGATAAAGTTCTGTGGCATCTCCATTCCAAAGTGGCACAGTGATTTTCAGTCTGCTTTCAAGTCCAGTTACAGGGAAGAGAGGCAGTGTTTACCCGCTCACTTCCTTAGACAGGCTTACGGGGAACCACACTCACTTCTGCAAGTTGGCTGGTCTCTGGCAATAGGAAAAAGCCACTAGTGATTGGTGTGTGTTGACAGAGGGCTGCACGTTCCCTCAGTTTACTCTTACGTGTCACGGGATAGGCTGGCAATTAGATGATAATGTAAAGCAAAGCAACAAAGACAGGAAAGTGATCTATTATATTTGACACAATGCAGATTATTTCTGAAAATCCCAAGAGTATAAGTTCCATGAATACAGGATTTTTGTTGCTTAGAACTTCTCAGGCAGGCAACAAATTACTAAGTGAATGTGTGAAGGCCAATCTGGACCAATGGCATGGATTATGCTAACCTGTATCCACCTAGTGATAGGATTGATAGCAAGGAGAGAAGGGGGGAGGTGAGCCCCAAGAATGTTATGGCCGTCCTTACTGGCACCAACACAACCTCACTACCCCACCGGTACTGCCAGTTAAAGCAATGGCTGTCATCAGTTGTCTGTTGTCTGGTGGCTACTTACATTCATGTTTCCAGTGAGCTTCATGGTAACACTGCGCATATGGGTATTACTAGTCCCATTTTACACATAAAGAAACTAAAGTTCACACAAGTAACTGCTTGTGATCTCACATTTAAACAGCAAAATAGGAGTTTTAATATGATTGCCCTCAGAGCGTGCTGTGTTTTACTATTCTATCCAGACCTAAATGGGAGAATGATGTCTACGCATGTGTTAGAATTAAGAGGCTCTAAAGGGAGGCGATATGCTTATGTGTAAAGAAATCTCCGATCAACTCCAATCAACAGCAATCAACCACTTCCATTTCATATTACTATTTATGGCAATATTATTGGTTATCACTTTGTTCTCCTAGACTTCACCTGCGTTTTATAACCCGTGACTGACATTTGTACAGTTAGTTCCTCATCGGTTTACATGTAATGTCAAGCATAGAGACTTCATCTCCCCCAAGAAGAGAAGCCACACCTCGGCTGTGTGCTCCATCTCCCTTAGGAAAGGGTTAGCCATCATCTGACTATTCCTGCACAGATCAAGAACCTGGATCCACTCTCCGGAGGCATAAAGACTATTTAATATCTCCTTTATGCCACCTCCTCATTGATCAATTATTGTAAAACATGATGGACCATACTGTGCCTGCCAAGGAAGTGATGTCACCTTACCATAAGCTCACAGGATTATTTTAAAACCCATGGAACAGGCATTATCAAATGCTGTGTATGGCAAAGTACCAGTCTTCTGCCAAAGAGCAGACATGGTACAAATAACAGGCATCCACTGCAAAATGGCAGATAGTTCTGCTGGTCTGCTAAATACCAGGCTAGTGGTTGCAGAAGATAATAAATCAGAAACGAGCACATCTCTCACTCCTGAGTGAAAGAAAGATGGCAGATGTGGATGAGGGCCCAGCATCAAGAGCTGAGTGGATTAAAGATGAAAACAACTTTTTCTCAACCTTCTCTCCTGGCCCTGCACTAAGCTCACAAAATATGTGGCAATGGTTTCCACAGTCCCTTAATTAACTGATGAGTCCATACAATTTTTTTAAAAACTGATTTGACTCACATTTAGCAAATTGATTTGACTCACATCTAGCAAGCCATTTCTCTAATGACCTTTCAACCAACATGCCTCAGAAGAGCTGCTTATGTGAACCAATCCCTCATTTCTCTGCTGCAGCTCTTTCTCAGACCTTAGAAACTATTGTTAACAAGGTCACTGCAGACCTCTGAATTGCCAGATTTGATGATTGGCTCCCAAGTCCTTGACCAATCAGCCACACTTGCCAGTGGATCATCCTCTCCCTGGAGGAGACTTTTTTCCAGCTGACTTGCAAAACATTGCTCTCCCCTACTGTACCTGCTCAATTCTCTGTCTTCTTCTCAACATCCTCCAGTTCCACAAACTCTGAATACTGGAAACCTGCAGGTTTCAGACCTCAGAATGCTTTTGTTCTCTAGGCAATCTCATCCACGTCTTCCTCTTTAACTATAACCTGTAAACCAAAGTCCTGCATCATGTCTCAAAGTCTGACTACCCTGAAGAGCCAAATTGGCTTTCTTACTGCCCTCTAGATTCTGGACATCCAGATGTCTAGTAGGCATGCCAAGTACAACCTGTCCGAATCTGAATTCATGTTCTTTTCATCCCAAAATCTGTTCCACCTACAACTGTCTCTCATTCAACTGATATGGATCCACTCTCTGACCTCTCTGCCAAATACCTTGCTACTCTGCCGGCCTCCTTGATGCTTCATACATCTCTTAGGAAATCCTGCTGCATCAGCCTTCACATTACTTCTGGATCCTGACCTCTTCTGTTCATCTCCCTCACTCTCACCCTCATATAAGCCACAGCTTTCTTGGGCCTGGCTGACCACGGTTAGCTCCTTTCACCTCCTCCTTCTTGTTCCCTACAGTCTATTCTTGAATAAGGCAGCCAGAGTGATATCCCTGAAAGCTGAGTGTGATTATAATCTTCATAAAGGCTAAAATTTGGGGTGTTTTGTTCACTGTTGTATCCAAACTTCTAGAATAGGGTCTGGTACATAGTAGGTGCTTCATTAAGTTACCGAGTAAGTGGCTCACTTCATAAAGGAGTTGAGTCTTAAGGAACAGGTAAAAACTAACCAGCAGTGTATAAGTCAAATATTGCAGCCAAAAGAAACAGCACCTCAAAGCCCTAGAAGCTCGAGAGACCTTGGCATATTCAAGAATGTACAAGGATCTCTGAATGACTCTGAAAGATCCTCTCTGTCATTTTCCTCTTCTTGCAAAGTGGAGTCCCAGAATCCCCAAGGTTATTAGAAGGAGAAACTCTGGGAGACCTGGATTTGCTGATTGTTCCTCCCTTCCCACCTCAAGAGCTCCTACCAGAGGAGAAACCTGCAGATGAGGAGCATGAGAAAAGAAGCCATGCAGATAAATGAGGGAGGTGCTCTCTCACTAATCCTATGGGTTCATCACACCGGAAAGGCGGATCCAGGAAAGCTATGTTTGGCAGGTAACGGGCCTTTGCCCGAGTGACTCAGCTGCCTCCAGCACAGTATCCTGCCTAGTTGGTTGAAGTAAGCCTAGGTCCCCAAGGCCTGATGAGTGAGGTTGTAAAAAGCTGACTGAAATGCATTGCAAAACCATTCACCGCCTCAGCGAGATGCTTTAAAACCAGGCTCAAAACTAATCCAAAAAGAGGGTGTCTTGATCCAAGTTCACAATGCATGTGAGTAAGTCACCAGCAGCTGCCAGGAGCCCTTACCTCTGAGTACATTGGGAAACCAACAAAATTCCTGAGTGTGCAGCTCAGCAGTAAAGGGCCACTGGCTTTCAAAGGGCCTGAGATTTAGAGAATCAGCCTCCATGAGGCTACTACATTCCCCTCTTGGTTTTTTCCCAAGGTGTCACAAAACACTGTCCTGGGATGGATTATTCATTCCATTTGGTGGATATGGTCAGATTGAGACCCAGACTTCCCAGCCTGCTCATGGGTTTTGGAGGCTTTCTTGAGGGACTCGGAGGACAGCAAAGACCACAGGGTAATGGTGGGTGGAAATTGATGGGGAAAGAGGATGGGCAGGTTGGAGGTGGACACTAAGAATCTCAGCACAGCAGGAAAAACAGCTCAAAGCCTCTGCCCTACCCCAGCTGCAGCCGTGGCAATTTTCTTTTGAAATAAAAGGATATCAGTAATGAGCTTAGTACTTAAGAATCATAAAATGTTGGATTGAAAGGGGCCCTCGAGGCCATCGATCCAATTCACCGTTTCCAGATGAGGAAATGGAGAGTCAGAAAGACCAATTCAGCTGCCCCACACTGCGTGTTCCATGCCAACACTGTGACCAGAGGCATGGGTCTTAAGCACGGACCTTGCATTTTTCCAATGCCACCCGTTCCTCCAGTCATCCTGTTCTTCGACACCAGCTTGACTCTGAGAAAATTCCTCCTAAAACACGAAGCTCCTCCTCCCTGCTCTCCTGCCCACTGTACTGACACATCTGAGGACGCCATGGTGAAAAATGCACGAACCCTGCTCAGACCTGTCACCGAAGACTTAGAACATCTTGGATCTTCTACTCACTTGGCCTTGGCGCCAAAACTAACATGGCCATGAAACAAAGTGCTTGGAAATCAGAGGGACTCCTGGAGAGGCTGTCCTGGGAACCAGAGAGCCCAGTCCTGTTGACAAGACCAGGCCCACTCAGGGTACAAGTGTGAGGGAAACGTGTTGAGAACTGCGCTCTCAGGCTTCTTGCCTGGCCTTCTGTTCCACTGTGTGACGATCAGGGCTCTTGGCAGAGGTGGCAGCTGCCAGTGGGAGGCTCTCACAGTACTCACCCACCAGGTGTTCTTCCCATCAGCCACTTCAGCTCGTCAAGGAACAACCCAGCCAGGGCACTGGGATGGGCAAGGAGGGATCTGCAGACCAGGTGTCAACAGATGGGATATTGGATCTGCCCCTCCCTTAACCAATAAATAGGACTTTTATAGGCTGAGTAATCCCACAGGGGATAAAGCAGACTGTCAAGTGAGCCCAAGTTGTCCAGGTAGGGTTGAACCTCATTGGTCCTGGATCACAGAGCCCATCAAAATTTTCATATGAAGTTCCAGAATGCTGGCCTTCTGGGGAGTAGTAGTGAGGCCTCACACCCTCCACCTACCCAGGTGCCCACCCACGGGAGTTGCAGGGAGCTAAATACTCCTGGACCCTTCCCCCGTCCTGGGCAAATTGGGTGCCCCCCCCCCCCGCCGCCCTGTCCCGCCCCACCAAATCCCACAGGTGCAGTCAGCTCCTCCCATTCAGCCCCAGGAAAGAGAGAAACTGCTGAGGAGTCTGAGTAAGGGAGGAAAACTCCCCTCTTGAGAAAGGCATCAGCCTCCAGTCATTCTGCCAGCTGCTTCTTGACCTCGGTGAGCTTCCCCCCTTGGTATTCCTGACCAAGCTCCCCAGCTAGCTTCCTCTTCCTTCTGACTGTCTCCAATGCCAGGCCTCTGGCGGGGGGGACATGGGAGGCTGGCAATGCACAGTGACCAAGTCAACATTCACCTCCAGGATGTGCAGGGTTGGCTTTGTAAGAGCAACAGACTATATAGATCGAAAGTCCTAGAGGTTTGCACTCTTGTTAAACTTTCTGACTCTCAGTTTCTTCATCTATAAAATAGGCACAGCCATGCCTTCCCTAAGCCTTTTGGGTCTGAACAGCCTGGACACCAGCTGGGAACCTGGTGACCACCTTCCGTGATTTGACTGCATGTGCAGCACCGGACGCTTTGACGCAGACAAGGAACTTTTGCACATGAGGTCATCTTGGGGTCAGCCATCAATCCCTAATACTAGAGAAACTCACCTCTGGCTTGAGTCTACAGGTCTTTTTATCCTCCATACAATGAATTGGCACTTTCTGCTGAGCTCCCGGGCCCTTTAGGGCTGCCTTAAGCTCCTGGACTTAATGACTCTCCTGTTTAATGGAAGCAAAAGCCGTTTAAGTGGTCACAGCTGCCAGGAACTTTGCTAAAAGACTGAAACTTTCCGAGCAGGTTGGGTAGTAGCAGAGCTAATCTGGGCCCACCACCTTCCCCCATCCCTCCCCTGCCAAGTCTTAGGCTTGTTTTGACAGCTCGGAGCTGGGTCCCCGGACAAGAACAGCAAGCACCCTCCTTTCCCTTTCCAAGGCTTGCACTTCTGCCCAAGGTTTGCCGCAGGGGGAAGGAAGAAACAATCAAGCATTGTCTTGTTCCCGACTGGTGTGTCAGGGCCTCATGGAATAAATATTATTTGCCTGAGAGGGGAACTGGCTGGAAGACAGCTAAGTAAGTAAGAGCGAGCAGGGTGGAGGGGAGGGAGGGCGGGAATGTTTGGGTTTGGTTTTATTATTAGTTTAATCTTTTTCTCCCTTAGTTCTGCAGATTTTTTTTTTCCTCTCCTGACAGGCCATTAAGCATGAAACCTGTGTTGTGCAGGACCTCTGCCAAGAAAAGACAAAAAGATTTTTTAAGTGTGTGCCCTTGTGTGGCTGAGGTCTCTGCACTCTCGGCAAGCCCTGGGTGAGAAGTAAACATTTTGGGGATTCTCCCAGGGCTAGAAGGACTTTCCAGAGCCTTCTACCCACAGTGCGGCCCCTCAGTAACCCCAAATATGTCACCTGTGGTGGTCAGTGGCCCTGCCTTTTATCCCTCAGGCCTCTGGGATGGCCTGTGGGATGGAGCCCCTGGTATCATGCTAGATTCCTCAGAGCCTGCATTTATTGAACTCCTAGTGGGTCCAGTTCAGCAACACTGGAATGGGCTGTTTTTTACTCTTCCTTCAAGTCTTTTACCTCAGGAGAGCTGCACATCTCTCCAGATTACAGAAATAAGGATCAGGCACCAACCAAGAGGCAGACACTTGAGAGACTGCTCCATAAAGGCCACAAAGCCTGGTCACCTCCAGGGAATGGACAGGTAAGAATAACAAGGGTCTTATGCTTTCCTGCCACCTTAGAGGGGGCATCTCTTGCTGTGTAAAGTCCTCTTGCCATCCTGTGTAAGTACAAATCTTTCCCTTCTCTTGATCATTTGGAGGGCAAGGCCCCCACTCGGTGCTGTAACAACAGCTATCAGTTATTAAGAACTTACCATCCACTGGCCATTGTGTAAGTGTCATATACCGTGTCACTGAACATCGGCACCAAGCCTGTTAACAGTGACACTGCTGAGTCCAAGTCCACGGTGGCAGACTGAAGCATGAAGATGGTCAGGAACTGTTCAGGGTCACACAGGTCATAAGAAAGTTTCTCTGCCCCCCAAGTCTGAATCCCTCAGAAGCATTTACCAGCAGTGGGATGGGTTTGGAAGGCTTCGCATATCTCCACGCCCAGGATTCATCCTTGCTAAGGGAAGGGGGCAAACTGTAGTATGACAGAGACTGAGAAAATGGCACTGCCTTGGCTCTATGGGCGTGGCATTTGGACCTCCCTTCATGAGCTGGGGATCCCGCGTTCCTGCAGGGCATAGACCCTGTCTGTATACTTAGCTTAATTATTTCTGTTTACAAAATAGTTTGGTGCTGGCCCAGTGAAATGTACAATTAGGGATTGAATACATGCTTTTCTGAAGATGATAAAGATCTCCATATCCCAGCCAGCAAAATAAACACTGCCTCCCTTTTCTCAAACAGAACCGAGGAGCCAGGGGGAGGCCAGGCCAGCCAGAGCATCCAGCACGGGGTGTAGACAGCGTGAGCAGGTGAGTCCTGCAGACTTGCCTTTGGATCCTGGCTCAGCCCCACCATGGGGAGAACTCACTGACTTCTCCAAGGCCGAGTTGCCCCAAATGTGGGGAAAGGTCACAACACCTACCTTGTAATTACCCCAAGGATTAGGTGAAAAAATGCCCACAGAGCTCCAGCACTATGGTCTGGCAGTGTGGTCTTTCAGCTTCCTTGTTCAGTTCCCAGTGAGACCTGGAAGGAGGGAGGGTTGGCCCATAGCCCTTGCCAGCAGGACCTCCACCCAGCAGCTTGGTTCCCTTCCACACTGGGGACATCCCCACCAACACACTCTGGTGGAACCACTCCCTGTGGACTAGTATGCTGCTGCTATTCTTACTCAAGAAGTACAGACTTGGGTCCCCTGTGGTTCCCAGAGACACAACTGAGACCGGGATGGAGCTTTTAGACAGGATACAATTGAAGCAGAAGACAACATGCAGTACCGAGAGGCCTCTTTCTTCGACCTCACCTGTCCCCAAGGGGTGGCCTCCAAGGACCCTCAATGTCCAGGCTGAAGGATAAGAGGCAAAGAGGTCAAAGCTCCCTCTACTACTTTATGAGTTCTACCTGGGTATGGAGACAGCCCTTGTCCCTAGAGGACACCAGGAGTGAGTGCTCCTCTCAGAAAGCCCTGCCTCCTTACATTCAGAGTGTGACCCTCAAAGAACTGCATTCCTTCAACACAACAAACCCTGCATCCAGGGACACAGTGTCCCCCTGGAAGAACAGAGGAAAGGGAAGAGGTGGGAAGTTTTGTGACAAGTGCTTCCTCCTGACTGTCTCATTGGATCCTCACAACAGCCCTGTCTGGGTCCTTGTTCCTAATCTGCAAATAAAGAGATGCTAGCTTAGAGAGTTTAGGTAAATGGCCAAGTTCGCACCTGGCTGGAAAGCAGCAGAGCGAGCTCTGGACTCTGAGGTCTTGTTCTAAGGCCAATTGTCTTATGGGCAGTGGGGTATCAACCCCAGTAAGCCTTCTCCAGGGCCAGCATGAGAGGGATTTCCTGAAAGAACTGAGTTAAAGGAGCCCTGGATGCAGCCACAGGCATGGGGCGAGGGGATCTGGCAATTGTCCCTCTCTCTGGCATGTTAGAGGTCAGGAGACCTGAGTTCAAGCCCGCTCTTGTACCCCTTGGCAGGTTGTCTAATCTGAAATCAGTACTCTCTGTGCCTCAACTTTTAGACTCTTAATACAGTAATGAATAAACCAATAAATACAAATACAATCCATGCACAGTGCCTAGTATATGCGGGTGTTAAATAACTTTAAAAATAATTTGTTATCTCCCTTCTATGTTTGCTGAGAAATGAGATATGAGCATGAAAAAGTGTTATAAGCTGCTAAAATAAAGCTTGAACAGTCATGTATCTTGAAAAGGCAAAAGGAAATAACACTCAACCTCAGACGATGTGTTTAAGTGGCCTTAAACCTTCAACACGAAGCACAGAAATGTTCCTTCGAAAAGCAGTCAATTTGCTCCCTGGATTTATTTCCACTGTAGACCATATCTTTTGTGTATACAATGGTCTTTCATGTATATACTTTCATTTGCCACATGTCACAGGCATTGTTAAAAATCCATCATGTGGCCCCAGGAGTCGTTGGGTGCCTTCATGTGAACAGTAGATATGGTTAAACTCTCTCTCCCATTCTCAGCTGATGCAGGTGAAAGCCTTCTGGATGGCCTGAAGGATCCAGATGGGCAGCTGGGGGGAAGCTGCTGCCTGTAGTAAATAGCATCTCTCCACATCAGGCCCGAAGCTGCTTACACATTTAGCCAGACTTCTTAGAATGTCTGATCCACTGGCCAGACACTGGCTGGACCCTGTGGTACCTGAGGAAGTGTCGGGGCACAGCCTCTACTCTCAATCAGTCTGGCTGAAGCAGGACACAAAGGAAATAGAGACAGTAAGGAAGAGAATCATCCAAGACCCACCGCAAGAGGGTTCTGCTTTATAGTGAAAGACGGGCGAAAGCTAGAGTAGGTGGAAAAGGTTCATGGGAAGAGGTTACCATTATCAGGAGTGTGGGAGCCACGCTGGTGGCCTAAGTGGGACTCCAGGCAGGGTCACTCTTCAGAGAGAAGGCATGGACTGTTTGCAAGACTTAGGTGAAGCTCATGTGGCTGTGGCAGAGAGAGGACACCCTTGTTCTCAGCCTTCTCTGCTGCTTTGCAAGAGCAGCTGAGTGCAGCCTGGCGGGTCCTGTTCCAATCTCTCTCGCCACAAATATAAACCCTCAAGGGACTCAGTCTCCTCACTGTGAATGCAGTGGAAACCCATGTCGACTGGAGTCAGGATGAGAAAGAAATGGCAGGGGCCAAGCCTCCAGTGGCTAGTGCTATAGACCTTGACCGCATGCATTGTTTCCGACTCTCTGGTTTCTGATCTAAGTTCACAGAGGAATGTCCCAGAAGTCAGTGTCCTGCTCCTTCCACAGAAAGAGCTTTCTACTGAATGTGTGGCATAAAATCAAGTTCCCTCGTGTTGTGCCGAGGAGACAGAGCCAGGCCCATGGTCCTGCTGCGGGACCTGCCAGGGCTCTGATCCACCTGCATATGCTGGCCTGAACCCTCAATGTCCATCCCCCTCTGGCTGCTCAAGCTCCGCAGTGGCCTGTAACTTCCTGGCCTCTCCGGGACCTAATAAATGGCTGCCGGCTGCAGTGGTCCTCCAGGGCCAGGAGCTTGGCGAATGGAGTCAGCTGCCCCAAGTCCCCTGCCTGGCATAGTGCATCCATTTTCCTTCCTGAGAGGCCCAGACGTGTGATCGGCTCTGGGCAGGCATCTGGAAAGTGCTGACTGGCCCGGAAGACACACAGTGGGCCTGGTAGGGAGCTGCTCCGGGTTGAAGAGGCTGAGCTCAGAAAGAAAGGATTGCGCTGACCTCCGAAGCCAGGGACCAGGTTTGTGAGCAGCACCCATCGTAGGCGGTTGCTAGGGTTGGGCACAAACAAACAACCCACCCACTGAAAATGCTTTGGGAGGCACGCTGGTCTAATCAGCCAGCCCCGGGTGCTACTCAACCTGGTTTCGGGCCACTGAGTCCAAGTTTCTGCCACAGACCTAGGGCTGAGGCCGTTTCCGAAGAGCTAGATAATTATTTTCCACCGAAGCCAGCTCAGAGTTTGGATTCACTCTCTCCTCTGCTCAGATTGCGACTCGGAAATAATCAGAGAAAGGAGGAATTGGTCCCTAGAGGCTGGGGTCAGGGAGGGGGAGCAGAGGCAGCGACTCCAAGGGCGGGGGGAGGGGGGGGGGATGACAGCCGGGAGGTGGGAGCCCTGCGCTCTGCCTGTAGAGCCTGAGGCTCCCAGGGCCGACCCGGCAGCTCTTCCAGCAAAGCTGCAGACCCTGAGCCCAGCGCTCTCCTCCCAGGCGCCTGGCTTGAGCAGGGCTGGAAGACCCCGGGCAGTGTAAGTGTGCACACTTGTGAGCGTGTACCCGTGTGTGCGCTCATGCACGCGGGTGTGAACAAAAAAGGGGACTCCAATGCCGGGAGAGGAACAGTGACCCGGAGTTGTAAGAGGTCAGGAGATTCCTGAAAAGTCGTGGTGGTGCACGCCTGTAATCCCAGTCTCAAAGAGGCTGAGGCAGAAAGATGACCAGCTGGAGCCCAGCCTGGGCAATTTGGCGATTTAACAAGACCCTGTCTCAAAATTAAAAATGGCTAGGCGAAGACCTTGGGTTCAATCTTCAGTACCCCAATAAATAAATAATCCCTAGCATGTAAGCTTCTTGATTGGAAGCATGCTTTTCTATGCATCCCACAATCATTTTCACACTCACTGTCACTCTGCTTGCCCCGTGCCCACGTCACTACCTGGTACACAGAGAGGCGCAGGATAACTATCTGAGTTCAGGAGTGGATGCCACAGTGGATGCGGGCCGGATGATCTGGGACTGGAAAGAGGCCAAAGTGCATGTCGCCAGCCCTTGCTCTTGGGACAAGCCTTCTCCACCTGCGTGCTGTGCAGGGCCAAGGGTTTTGTTCCTGCTGCTGTCTCTCCCTCTCTCTGCCTTTCCCAGCCCCCTGGAGACAGGACCAGACAGTAAGAAAGGAGAATTCTGAGCACCAGAGCTACTGAGGCGGCTTCCTCCTTCTGGGGCACCCTCCCCCCTCCACCAGCGCCTCCATTTAGGAATTTGGACATTGATCTTCAACTTCCCCAGTTAGAACAGCAGCTCTCCCACTCACCTCACAGGACCTTGTGGCAAGTCAAGAAGGCCAAAGGTTGGTTAGGGTTTGAGGAGAACACAAAGTCCTGGAAGGGGATGCCATGGCTGCAGAAAGGGAGGCACACTTCATTTCTAAAAGTCAGAAGTTAATGTGCTGTGATTCAGGTGTTCTTCAGGGCACCCCACATTCAGGAGGGGCTCCCCAAGTAGGTATGGAGTAAGCAGCCCTGCCCCTTCTGCTTGGACACTCTGCTCAGGCCATCTACCTTCCTGAGGCTTCAAGGGCAGAGAACAGCACATTCTTCCTTCAGCTGCAGAGGGAGACACTGAATACCTCGCCCTGTGGGTAATGGTTTTTTATGAGAAAGAAAGGATCAGATTTCACCCTTCTCAACCTGATTGAAAGACTCATCAGAAATAACAAACTTAACGGGGTAATTAGGAAATTATCCTCTTACAAATTGGCAGATGTCTCTTTTCCATGGGAGGAGAAGCGAAGGGTGTTGTTTTCTTTTACCATGGTGAAGCTGCTGTGATTAACCAAGCCACCGGCCTGGTTCACTTCTGGCTAAGCAGACAGCTTTCTGTGCAGGGCGCACCTGCTGCTGCCCTCCCACACCACATGTGCTGCTCCCACGCGGGGCTTGCTAAAAAGGAAAACTTCGATCTTAAAGAGCTCTGTAAACTTGGCCTGTCCACATCCTGGAGATGGAGACCTAGCCCGAGTTTAGGAGTAGGCTTCTCAGAACAAGCCAGACACGTATTCGTTTAAAGGGATTAAGTATACTGAGTCTGAGCCTGATCAATACTGCCCTTCTCTGAGCTTATAGGAAACAGTGCAGATTTTCCACAGAGAACCCAGAAAGTCCCTAAAACATACCTGAGAGAATTTGTATTTCATAGCAGGAGGAAATTTCTAAGATTTACCACTTAGAGCTCTGAAAACTTAATGGAAATAGACCAGAAGCCCAATGGTAAAATCAGAATTAATCTCAACTGCCTCCTTCCCTATGGCATTCCCCAGTCCTCACCCAGCACAACTCCACAGACTGGACAGACATCATAGATGTGTTGTGAGTCCTGTGGGATTCTCTGTATGCTAACAGAATAATTAAAAGATGTGTCTCCCCTTACATACATCTTAATGCTTCCGTTTAGCATTTGATAATTCAAAGTGGTTTTACGCAGTCTCTCACTTAATGCAGTCCTCATAACCACACTAGGTGGCCTTATGCCTGATGTCATCAAAGAAGAAACTGGAACTGAGGTAGAGGCAGGTGAAGCATCTGGTATAACCTTTACAGTTTCCAGATGAATTGTCCCCCAGAGATTCATGTGTGGAAGGCTGAGTCCCCAGCCCAGCAAGATTCAGAGGTGAAGCTTTTGGGAGAGAATTGGATCCAGAAGACTGTAACCTCAAAAATGGGTCAATCCATTGCTTATTCTGCTATTGGGAGGTGGGAGAATTTAGGAGGTGGTACCCAATGGAAGGAGGTAGGTCCCAGGGATGTGCCCCTGAGCATATTTTTTTAATTTTAAAGAGAGGAAAGTAAATAAAACTAAAAACAGTAATATAGAATTTCAAAACAGGATAATAAGAAATTAACAATGGTTAATATATTGCATATTATTGTCTTGAAAGTAGTTGCTCAGATTGCAAGATGTAGATATGCAAAATTAATCAACCCATATAAACACCAACTGATCCCTTCAATGAACTAAAAAAAATTAGTAGTATAATTATGTTAGCTACCATATATAATGCAAATGTATATATATATAATATATATATATTCTTTTCCTTCATTTCTCTACTCTCATCCCAATTGTTCTTTCCTTGTAAGCAGTTTCTTTTCTCTTTCTCAATATCTATTGTAGATTTTATATCTTACTCACTCTTGTACTAGGGAAAAAGACAATGCTTATACATACACATTTGATTTATTTCACTTATGAGTATGGTCTCTAGCTGTGACCATTTACGCATAAAGGCCTTGAGTCTGTCCTTCTTTATAGCTGAGTAAAAATGTATGTAAAAATACCCCACATATT